CTACAAAATTGAGCCGGAAAAGCTTGAAGTCTTTCAACAGCCTGAAGCTTAAGGTTCGAATGGGAGTAAAAGGTCGGATCCAACACGCCCAAATATGGCCGGATCGCTGGCAGCTCCGTCTACTGAACAATCCATAAGAAAGGCCGTAGTAGCGGAACCCTACTTCGTCAACCCGTCAGTAGGAACTGTAGGAAGAACGAAGGCAAATTTGACTCGACCAGTTCAAGTAATCGTAGTCTACAAAATTATCTTAAATGACTGGAGAATCAAAGTTCCAGTGGAACGATGAGTCTCGAACAACCACTGAATGTTCGTAGGCTCCAAAACCTACAACCACAAAGGATGACTCCAAATCTACCAACTTCAGTGAAATCAGCATTGGGGAGCGTAATTCCCATAGCTCAAGTTTGAAGCCTAAATGGGTGTATGAGGTCGGATCCAACAAGCCCAAATATGGCCGGATCGCTGGCAGCTCCATCTACTCAACAAGCCATAAGAAAGGCCGCAGTAGAGGAACCCCCATCTCAGCAACCAAAGGACAAAGAGCTATCAAATTCTAGCTCTCCCGATCTGATGAACTCAAGTGATTCAGATTAAAGTCTTCTCAAGTAGTTAAGGATCAAGATACTACCTACGTTCGGTACTATCAACTGATTCCAGAACTTGCAAATCCTTCAACAAATCCGCAAAGCACAAAGCGAGGATCGAAGAAATTTTTCTTCCACAAGTCTGCCAAAGCACAAAGCAAAGGACCGAAGAAAATTATCCCAAAGTTCACGAAAAGCCTTAGGCTGAGTTAAGTGGATTCTGTCATCAACAAGTCCGCTATGCACAAAGCTCTAGACCGATGACTTCTCTCCACCGACCAAATACAAACCTAAAAGGGTTTAGGTCATCGGCATCTACTCCTTCAACAAGCCCGCCAAAGCAAGAATGTATAGGGCCGAAGGTACAAAAAATCACCTGACAAGTTAGTAGAGACAAAACAGACAATCCTCCATCAATGTCCGCAGCACAAAGCACATGACAGAAGAACCAAAATCTCGTGACGAGGTCTAAAATTACAAAAAGAAGCATCCCGAATAATATCTACAAATGTCCCTAAAGACTGGGAGCATTTTAAATATTTATTTGGGTCAACATCGCGCATGCCGAGATCCACAAATAAATATTTAAAATACTATGAGCACAAGTCAGAGTACAACCACAGAAGTCTCAAGAGAAGTAAAAAGAGAGCTCGCCAACAACTGAATTTATAAAATAACTTTATTTTATTAAGTTCTGAATTTCATATACAAATCTGTGGACTACATCTTTTTACAAGATTACATCAGTTGAAAGAAAAAGAAAAGTACAATGTCCTTCACAGAGGACTCAAATCTGTCTCCTAAACTACGCCTGAAGAGGAAGCCGACAGCTTTATTCCGCTCCTTCCAAGGACCAGGTATTCTGCACTTCTGGGACCTGCACGAAGTAACAAAAAAAAGTGTTAGAAAGAAAGAAGAAAATATCATGCAGATATATACAAAACTACAAAAAAAGAAGCTTGTACCTGAAACAGAGGTCTCCCGAGGTGGCCCTTGAAAAAGTATCCCGCTCCTCTTGAAGCCTGCACACAAAAAAAAAAGGAGTCAGAAAGCAGCTGAAGAAAGAAAAGAACAACACAAACAAAGTGAAAGTGTACCAAAAATTGAAGCCTCCTGAGGTACTGAACTGGCTGAAGCTTGGATACCCTTCCTGTAAGCAGCCTGCACAAAATACAAAGCATTATTAGTACAAGTACAAAGCAAAAAAAAAAACTAAAAAAGAAGGGAAGAAAGTGTACTTGAGCCCAAAAGTAACTGTAGAAATTCTGAAGCAGCTTCTTGACTACGAGTGCATCTACGGGATCTACAAAGGCATGAAGATGGACTATTAGAGGTCTATGGGACAAATTTTAGTGTGACATCCAAGCAAAATTTTGGAGATCCACTAAATGAAAATCTTAGTATGACATCCAAATAAACTCTTGGAGATCCACTAAATAAAAACCTTATGTGTGACATCTAAAACAAATATCTAGAGATTCACAGGGTCAATCAACATACAACAAATGTGATTCGCTCTAGACGCAAACCACATTTGTTGGGGGGCATTTGTTAACCTCTATACAAAGAAACAAAAATAGCAAAAAATATGTACGTACCTCGGACTGAAATCCCGCGAATCCTGCCGAAGTCCCGCCGAGACACTGTGCAGCAGCGCCGTTCCGGGATTTCTGCCAAAATCTCGCGACAGCCTCTCGATCGCTGCTCCATTCTCGTCTATAAAAAGAAGGCCAAGCGATGCCTTCTACACACGACCTCCTCTCAAGCTCCCGAACTCTTCTTCCTCCGATCTTCCCTCTGCTTCCGCGAACAGAGCCGGCCGAGCCCTCTTGTTCCGTCGCCTCTCCACCCTGCTCCATCCCGTGAGAGAGAGAGAGAGAAGAGCTACCTTACCTGGCCGGCACCTCCTCTACCCGAGCTTCACACCCTGCCGACCCCAGCTCCTACCGACTTTGCTCCTCCGGTGTCCCTTTCCTGTCGGATCGAAGGCTCCGATCTTTCGATCGGAACCAGTGACGGGAGTCGCTTGCTGTGACGCTAACTTTTCTCCCTTACGTGCGGCCGACCCTCCCCTTTCTTCTGCTGCTCTCGACGACGTCCTCTTCTCTGTTGGATCGGAAGCTTCAACACTTTGATCGGGTAGCAACACAGAGAGAACACTTGCTGTGAAGGGTAACTTTCTCCTTTAAACGCACTTCTTCGGCCAAATCCCATAAATCCCTCATTTCTAATTAATTAGAATTAATTTCTTTAATTATACTTAATAATTTTTAATAATAAACGGTTATGATTTAATTATAATTAATTAATTTAATTATATTTAATCATTATTAATAATTATTAATTATAATTAATTGAAATTAATTAAAATTAATTATCTTTAATTATGGTTAATTATTAATAATTAGCTATGATTAATTAGAATTAATTGTAATTAATTATTTTAAATTATATTTAATTATTATTAATAATCATTAAATACAATTATTCAAAATTAATTATAATTAATTATAACTAATTATTATTAATTACGATTAGTTATAATTAAAGAGAAATTAACTATAATTAATTATATACATCTCTTGCCTCGATCCTCGGGTTGATACCGCCAAGCCCGCGAAGGTACGAACTTTTTAAACTCAGATCCTCGCTTCCGTTGTGTGCGGCGGACAGGAAAACCGCCTATACACGCCTTTATTACGCGTGGTGGGATGGGACCCCGGTCCGACGCCTACGACGAGGCGGGAATCGCCTAAACTCTACTTCGGTGTTCGTGGCGCACCGGAAAACCGCCTATACACGCCTTTATTGCGCGTGGTGGGAAGGGACCCCGGTGCGGCACCTACGGCGAGGCGGGGTCACTCATAAGTACCCTCGAGCGGGGGGAAAGCAAACTGTGCATCTTTAAACCGCCACCATCGAAGCCCGCGAAGGTACGAACTCTCTAAACTCAGATTCTCGCGTCGTTGTTTGCAGCA